CGAAAAAAAGAGAAATCTTTTGTCTTTTTATGTCGAAATATTTTATTTCAACAATTTCAGATCCTGTAACAATTAGAATTTTTGAATTCTGTTTTTGGTTCTGAAACATTTGAAACATGTAACACAATTGTAGATTAAAGCCATTTTGGCATTTAAAAATCATTTTTTAAAATTAAAATTGCAAATAGGGTCTAAACCGTCAGTGATAGAAAAATAATTACTTAAATAAACAATTAAGAATTAAATTATCTTTCAAAATCCAAAAACAGAATTTATAAATGCCAATGCCAGAGACAAAATTATTTGGGTGGTTAAAGACCACGCGGTTGAAGTAAAACAAGTTAAGTCAATAATGAATTTGATTTTCATATGGCTGAAGAAATGTGAGAACATACCTTGATGCAAAATAAATTTTTGCGCGTTTGACATATCCAAAGAAAATACGAAATAAATACTCGTATGAAATGCGCGTACGATACAAAAAGGGTATCAGACGGCCGACGGAACATCACTCACGCTTTACCTCTGCGTGTGTACAATCCGCGCTTAACGAATGCCGCACATCACTCGCGCACAATCGAAGGAGCATTTAGAAACAGTACGTAATAACGCGACAAAAATTAAGGAACTCAAAATATTGTAAAGAAAATGTGCGTCCAGATCACTTGACGACTAAAATAAGACTAACGTGATACGCAAGCCAACCGCGTGACAACCGTACTAAAATTGGAAGCGATAAGAAAACATGTTTGTTTGTAAAACTAACATTTTCATTACATGCGGTAGTGCAGAACATGAGAAGAATTGAACTCGTACCATGCATGAAACTATTCATTTTATTAAATTCTTAATCGGATTCTGAAGGATAATTTTATTCTACATCGTTTATTTCAGTAACTAACATTAACCGTTTAGACCCTATTTACTATATTTGAGAAAAATTCATTCGTTTTTCGTAAACCTTTTGTTATTGACATAATCGCCAAAAATTCGGCCCTGTTTTTCGACCGAGAAATATTTAAACACAATAGTTCAACCCTGTTCATTGACCAAAAAATGTTAAGTAAAAAGTTCGATCCTGTTTTCGACCGAAAAAATTTTAACAAAAAATTAGACAGAAAAAATTTTAAGTAAAAGTTCGACCGTCCTTCGACCAAAAAAAATTTAACAAAATAACTCGACCCGAAATTTTTAAGTAAAACAGGTCGACCATGCTTTTCGACCGAAAAAATTTTAAGCAAAATATTCGACAGAAAAAAATTAAACAAAATAATTCGACAGAAAAATTTTAACAAAAAATTCGACCGAAAAAATTTTAATAAAAAATCGACTAAGAAAATTTTAACAAAAAATTCAACCGAAAAATTTTAACAAAAATTCGACCGAAAAAATTTTATGAAAAAAGTTCGATCCTGTTTTTCAACCGAAAAAATTTTAACAAAAAATACGACCGAAAAATTTTAAGAAAAAAGTTCGACTCTGTTCTTCGACCGAAAAATATTTATTACTCGTAAAACAAGTTTGACCCTGTTTTCGACCAAAAATGAAATTTATTTGACAAAAATAGCGATATTCGAATAGTATTTTAAAACACTTTCATAAGGTTTATAAGGTTAAAGAGGTATGCATAGTATAAAGGGTTTCTCGGACTTTAACATGACGTTAAGAAACTTCAAGAAAATCAATTAGTTCACGTGATACAAGGTGTTTTCCATACCATGTTTTTAAATTTTCCTAAAATTGCTCATTTTTGAAGAGTATTTTAGGGCACTTCCAAAAGGCCTGGAAGGTATAAAGAGAATGCATCGTGTAGACAAACTCCTGACTCTCTTCTGGCGAAGAGAAACTAGCAGATAGTCATTTTTACGAGATACAGGGTGTTTTCTACACTATGTTTTCAAATTCCGAAAGAGCTGGAAGGTTGAAATGGTATGCATCGTGTAGACCTGTAGACAAACTCTCTGACTCTATTCTGGCGTGCAGAAACTCCAAAAAGTCAATTATTTTCGGAGATATAGAGTGTTGTCCACTTCATCTTTTAAAACTTTTCCTAAAAATGCTGATTTTTGAAGGACATTTTAAGGAACTTCCGGAAGGGATGGAAGGTTGAAATGATATTTATCGTGTCGATGAATGCTCTAACTCTATTTTGGTGTGGAGAAACTTTAAGAAAGTCAATTAGTTCACTAGATACAAAATTTCCTAAAATTGCTTATTTTTAAACGGCATTTTAGGGCACTTCCGAAAGAGTTGGAAGGTTGGAGGAATACATCGTATAGAAAAACTCTCTTGGTCTATTCTGGCGTAGAGAAACTCAAAGAAAGTCCATTCATTCACTAGATACACAGTGTTTTCCACACCATGTTTTCAAATTTTCCTAAAATTGTTCATTTTGTAGGACAAAAAAAAAGGGTAGGTAGGAGGGTATGCATCTTGTAGAGCTCTCCGGCTCTAACATGACGATAAAAACGGTAAAAAGTGAAACAATTTACGAGATACTGGGCGTTTTCCACACCATATTTTTATAACGCTTCTTGAAACGGCTACTATTTAATTGATATTAAAAATAATGATATACCTATACTATACAACTATCGAAATAAAACAAATGTATCTGCAGACACGCGAGTGAATAACGCGAATCAGCCACCGTATCAGCTGACAATCGGCCCGAAACTGCTAGCAGTCTGCTAAACTATCCTCTCTCCAGCTCCCCACGGCCAATATGGTGAAGGTCGTGCAGATATAGACCGGATAATACGTAGTTCCGTAATCTAGTCTTCAATGCAATATAAAGTATAAACAAATATACTTAGTAGTATTCACGACGAATACTACTCTATATACAATACATAATGTTAAATATATGGTAAAGTAAAGGAATATATATTAAGTTATGGAAATAAATTACGTAAAACCAATCAGAGTAATACAAGTTTTATCATCGATTCACGCACAAATCATTATCTACGTATATATATATATATATAAAAAAGGTCGTGTTAGTTACACTATTTATCATCAAATATTTGAATTATATTTTACCAATAAGTGCTATTGAGGGTATACTTAACTATTTATAACTTAGTGCAATCAATGCACTTAACATCTCAAATCGAGACCTTGGATGGAAAATCTAATTATTTATTAAAGTGGCAGTTTTCTTCGAGTTCTCGCTTTTACTACAAACGATGATTATTTCGAAAAAATTAAATACCTACATCCTGGTATAGAAGTAAAATCGCCACAGTTCTTGAATTTGAAGTACCTATGTATTAGAAGTGATCCGACGGTCAACGATAAATCACCAACACACAGGACACTTTATTTTCCGTTTAATGAATATTTCGTACTCTAGCATTAGGAAAGCGTACACACTTTTGATCACAAACTCACTTTCACGGCTAATTAAATCAATGCAATTTAATATTAAAATCGCAAGAAATTACCTACATGTTCTCGAGATACGCGCAGCTCAACCAGCAACCGCGTGCAGAATACTAACGATAGAAAACAAAGCAACCTATAAACCAACAGGTTGAACCGCTTGTTGTGGCTGAAGCGTGCGGACTTATCGCAACACCGAATCGACCCGAAAAAACTTCTTTATACACATACGCTGATAAGTACTTAGTGCAGAATACGCCAAAATATAAGAGTAAATTGCATAATGAAATAGATATTTTGTCTTGATATTAAGGCTGTTTAATCTAGGAGAATATACACACAACACGTGTATAAAATGTATTTAGAAAGTTGCTATGAATTTAATTTACAGTGCAAGTGTGTAGGTATCAAAAAATGTAATGGAGAGATTGCGGTATCTGTGTTATCTGGTCCCGGTGTATAGGTAAATGAGGCTGCTGAAGTGAATGCGTTGGCGGGTCTCGTCTCCTTCGTATAAATGGCCTCTCGTCTGCTCGTTCAAAATATATGTACCTTGTAAGCGAAATAAACATTGTAGATTACTGGTTATATGCTTTGTATATGGAATAGTGGCGGTATCTGTTAATTATCTCATTCATCACAAGTAGTTGGTTTAACACCAGGTGCGGTTCAGCACGATGGGCTGAACGTACCAAGAATATTATCGGCTTAACCCGGGGGCGGTTCAGAACGAGGGTCTGAACGAAAACCTTACCGGACAGTTAAGCCGAAGGAGATAAAGGAGACCACGGGCAGTTCAGCACTAGGGGCTGAACGTACCAAGAATGTTATCGGCTTAACCCGGGGGCGGTTCAGTACGAGCGTCTGAACGAAAACCTTACCGGACAGTTAAGCCGAAGACCCAAAATAACACTGTGTACCCAGTACGGAGTTTTTGAACCCCAGGGGGCAGCTCAGCACGAGGGGCTGAACTACCCGAAAAGAAAGAGAAATGTACACAGCGTTAATGAGCGTAGCCTTGGTCGATTGAGGTTAGGTATGAGTCGCATGATGGCTGTTAGTATCAAGTGGAGTTCGTAATGTAATGTGTTTACTCATACCTTGTAGCAGTAGTTTTGGGTGAACTGAAATACTGTACCGATGTAGTTCGTCGTACCTTGTAGCAGTAATTTTGGGTAAAATGGAATACTGTACCGATGTAGTGTTCGTGTGATGCTGGCACAAAACGGAATGAGATGAGTTCGTGAAAAATTTTAGTTGGTACCCCAATCGTTCATCCTCGCGAGGGGAGTCCGTAGTGTTGGCTGGCACACCAGTAGTTCGTCCTGGCGAGGGGAGTCCGTAGTGTTGGCTGGCACCCCAGTAGTTCGTCCTGGCGAGGGGAGTCCGTGGTGTTGGCTGGCACCCTAGTAGTTTGTCGTGGCGAGGGGAGCTCGTGGCTCCACCCGTAACGGTGACTTTGTGAGTCATTTGGTGGCCTGATCGTGTCAAAAATTGGCGGAGGGTGATTCTTCTAGGATTTCATGCTTATAGTATTTGTTTGCTAAAGGGCTTATATGTATTTAAGAGAGAAATGATTATTTTTTAATGTTAAAGTTTTAACAACACGCATATAATATTAAACATTTATTAACGAAAATAATTGCTTCAGATTCTAATCATTATTATTTAATAATTTCGTTCATTTCTTTGCCGTTTTGATCAATCATTTCGCAACTTTCTTCAACTGAATTAACTGAACCTTTCTGGGTCCAGTGTTTAATCGCCCATAAAGTGGCCACAATGAGTCCAATAAAAACAAAGTTCGAAATGAGCATAGTAATACGATTTCCCACCAAAACGTATAGATACGACAGAACAACCGGACTTAAAATCCTTGCCAAGCCCGAAAATGATGTCATAAAACCCATCCAGGTACCCTTAATTGAGCAAAAATAAAAAGAAGCATTAATTATTTCTAACCACCCTCAAAACGCATATAAAAACAAACCTGCTGTTTTGTTCCAAGAACTTGAGAAAATTTTGTGTAGATAATTGTGATGGCCCACGAGTATCCAAAATTATCCAAAACATTACTCAGTATAAACTGGAGCTGAGACATTTGCTTCTCATCCATGCACCATTCTTGGGACCATTGAGGACAGCCTTGCTCTGTTTGATTTACGGCTGTGACAACAGTACTACTCACAGATGGGTACATCAAAACCGTCCCACAATCATTATAAGAAACCCAAGATACATAACATCCATTTCTCCAAACTTTTACAGCACATATCCAAGACTGCGATGGCGACTAAAGACACAATTGCCCCGCCTGTCATAATATACGAGTTAAATTGTAGGGCATCTGGGCGATTCATCGCAAAGCCATCCATAACAATCGGTGTGCCCAACACTTTCAAATATAGGTAATTACAAATTAACCAGAATTGTAAAAATATAAAAATCCACGCAATAAGTTTGTAGTTTTGATTTAGATTCGTACTACTACTCGTAGATGTTTCCATGTGACGCACATCTTTATGTTGAAATATTGCAGGCAAGAAAATGATAATGTTGATGACAATTGTTATCAACGCCAGCCAACCAATTGAAGTGTACATGTCAATCCTTACATATCCTCCAAATATAGTGAACCCATTTTCTTTAAGTGGTACCATCAAGGATTGCAATAATGGGCCGCAAGCAAATGCCACAGTTTGAAGACCTGTCAGGATGGACACAGCCTTTCGACGTTCAGATCTCAACGTGGATTCCGCAATATATCCACGAGCTAATCCAATATTAACTAGAAATATCTATTATTAATACAATGAATTGTTGAATTTACATGCATTCAAATTACTATCATGCATTCCAGTCATAAACCGAGCAAATAGAAACCAATTTCTTCTACTATCCAGATGAATCAAAGGTAAGCTGACATAAATGATATAATGGACAGCACCGCAGATTAAAGTAAAAAGAAATGGCGTGCGACATGATTTCAGTGAGTTTGACCATTTTCCAAATAACGGGCAGAATAATGTAGTTCCAATAGCACCAATCGCAGCTAAATAACCCAGAAATTGTTTATCTGCAGAAGAATCTAACTAAAAACACTCCTTCAATAATACTAAAAATAAAAAATGTTCTAACAAATACTTACATGGTTTAAATATGGCCATAAACTGACAAGCATCACGCTGTAATATAAGGAACTGCTTGTTATCGTAAAATATATAACATAATGTGAAATTTTCCGAGCGCGATATTCTTGTGGTGATTCAATATGCGATTTTTCGGCTTCATTGGATAATGGTAATAGTTTCGATTCGTTCATGTTGCCTGCACTGCAGCTTGTAGCTTGAACAATAAAAACGGTTAGATAATGAACTAACAACTTAGATTTCAAATTATATTATGCGTATCACTTTTGTAAATTAACACAACAAAAGATAAGTTTACACAAATGTGAATTATGATTATTAGTTTAGCTCCAGACAAAAGTAAACATGCACATTAACAGATTCTACCTAATGGGTGTCTCATTCATACCATCGTGATCGATAATTTGTTTATCTTTTGATACAAAATAGATTTCTTTGAGATAAATCAACCAATTAAAAGTTTATTTATAAATAGTGAGTAGCGAGTTTTACAGACGAATTATATAGGTCATGTAACCTAAATTACTTTAGATCACTTGCATTGCGCGAAACTAATCTTGTTAACTTAGTTTTCCACAATTAAGAAATTGTAAAATCATATAACTTCGTAATTATAACTGGCTGACCTTGAAATAAATATTCATGCGTGATATAACATACTCACGTCCCTACACTCACTGTTTGAAAGTTGATTCAAAGCGTTTTTATTTGAATTGAACGTAAATGTCCATACTCACTCCTTAATTCAAAGCAATAAGCGCATCTACGTATGTTTAATATATTAACACTGAATAAATAGTATTAAATGATTAAGATTACAACAGTTTTCACTACTTTCAACTGCTCGAAACGACGCCGGCTGGCAGACTGACAATGACTTAGTAAACCAACAATTAAACAACAATATAAAAATATATTTAAAAACAAGTCGATAGTTATAAAACCAATGACAAAAACGATTACACTTCGCCACACAACGAGAACAGTTAAAATGTTTAAATTTTTTCGCACTGAAACAAAAAAAAATGTTATCAGTTTATTGAACTAGTTATCTAATTCCAGTTTTAAATGCTTTTTTTAAAAGTATTTATTTTTTGTTAATCACAGTCAATATTTATTTATTTCATATATACAATTCACAATATAAACAAAACATAGTAATTCCATAGTCATCACGCATTGCTCACAATTTCGATGGTGTTTGTTTGCGTTCTGGCTTGTTTGTTCAACAAATTATTATCACTGGCGGGTTCACCGCCGGCCGTCTCATCGTCAACTGTAGACTCCTTACCCGGTTTATCTTCTTGGAGCTGTTCCTTTGCGTCATCGATATCATTATTCTTATTAATAAATAGGTGATGGGATGTTTTCATTACAAATATTGAGATAAGCGCAAACATCGTATTTGTTACTATTGTAACAGTTCGTGGACCGTATTGTTCATACAAAAACGTAATGAAAACCGGAGATGTAATCCTTGCCAGACTACCAAATGCCGTTAGGAAACCCATCCATGTTCCCTAGAAATATTTTTTAGTTATTTTAACATAAATAATAAATAAATAATTTTATTAAATTAAACATACTTGTTTTTTGGAGCCTAACACCTGTGAGAATATAGTCATAGTCAAAGTAATGGCGATTGCATATCCAACATTCTCTAAAGCATTCCCTAAAATAAATTGAAAGAAAAATATCTTTCCTTCGCCAGCACACCATTGTTGACTCAAAGGACATCCAACATATTCGGTGTTACTGAGTTCAGTCTCGTTCAAACTCACATCGTTATAAGTAACAACTGTTTCATTAGTAAACGGATAGAAACAGAATCTTCCTATTATCATAAGTAGTAAAGAAAATATCAACAACGTCATTTCACTAAAGAATTTGCTGACTGGATTAATCAGCAAGATGGAAACAAAAGAAATCGCAGCTCCTACAATGACGACAATTGAATTTAATGCCATTGCTCGTGCTCTAGTCATAGCGTATTCATCCATCACCAATGGAGTTCCCAAGACTTTCAAAAACATAAAATTGAAAGTCAATGAGAAATTCAGCAGAATAAAGAGCATTGCTAATATTTTATAGTTCTTTGATCGATAGACGTCTTTCTCAGGTGAAATTTCTTCACGCTTATTCATTGGATGTTCTTGAAACACTGATGGCATAAACAAGAGCATGTTGATGACAGATATTATCAATCCAATCCAACCTACAGCGGTGTACATGTCTAGTTTCAAAGTGTTTGGGATTAACCATACTCCAGTTTCTCCAAAGGGATGGTCATGGATTGGATTGCTGGTCCAAGAGCAAATGATACTGTTGCACATGATGAAAGAATGGTTACCACTTTCCGGCGTTCTTTTACTAAAGTTGTTGAAGAGACGTGCGAGCGACACAAAGCAAAATTTGCTGTTAACAAAAAAGTATTATAATAAAACAAAAGTATTAACATAAATAGTCACGTAAGTCTTACAGGAACCAACGCCCGCTAAAAATCTAGACGCTAACATCCAGTACTTCTTATGTGGAAAAATCTCTAATGTTGCATAGATTAAATGAGATAATAGCAGGACCACTAGACTAACAATAAATGGCACTCTGCTAGAGTTAAGTTTGTTGCTCCACCAACCAATCAATGGCGAGAATATTGTTTGTCCAAGAGCACTTGCACCTACTAGATATCCCAAGAAGCTTTTACCGGCTGATGGATCAATCTACAAATATATACATTACAAAATAGGTAACATTTTAGGTTATGTTCGTACTTTGACTAAATATGGCCAAATCCCAATTAATATCGTACTATACGAAATGACAACGTTGAATTGTGTGAAGAAAACAATAAAATGTGATCGCGCACGCTCTTCATATTCCTCTTCAGTTTCATACTCGCTCTTTTTTCCATATTTACAACAAAGCCCCATTTTTGCACTTTAAATATGACAATTTATGCCAATTATATTTTGATACTATGATTGTAACTACATAATGCTGTTTGTTCGTTTTATTTCTGAATGTGCACTAGTATACTACTATTATTAAGCGCGGAACCCGTTGAATTTGCCAGAACTAGACTTTCCAAGATATTTTCGTCATTCGATTACACTTGTACACGACCTAAGAGACGCTGAAAATTTCCACTGTGTTCACTCACAAGCGGCGTGTCGCCCTCGAAAACAATTTCTTGCTTAATCACTCATTTCGTTACGTGTAAGATGGCTTACTTGGGCAATGATAAGACGTTTTTTAACACTCGCATGTTTACAATTGAATTAACCAAAACTACACCTCACATAAAGGCTTTACATTGTGTCTAATACATTAAAATTAAAGTCACGTAACTTAAGTCAACGAAGGTTTAACAACTATTTTTACTTGCATCATGACACTACATCACAGACAATAATGATATTATAATAAAGTTTCGCTTTCATCCGCACGAATGCGAACAATTTCCATTGTCGTTATCGCACAACGCGTCTTTGTAGTTTACTCTGGATGATACGAGCGCGGTCCGATAATTGTAATAACGATGACAATGCACACGCGCTGTTAAACCGCTTTAAACTTTGGCTTTCAATGCTCTAAACGCTTTGAACGTCTCCGACATGAATCGTATTGCACATGATTTAACATTTTCCGAGCGCGGTGGGCCGAATATATAGCAAATTTCGTGTCGTCGTATCTTTTTATGCCGGTTGTTTATTTTGGGAACGCCACCGGCCGAATTTCGAGGAGTTCGTTAATCAAATCGCAAACACGATTTCATTGTGTTCAAAAAACATTTCATACATATTCAATTTACACGAATTATAAACTTAAATTTTTATTTTTTTTATTTTACCAGTTCCTGTATAAAAAATACAAAGTTCATTGCATTGTTGATTTTTACATGTAAAGTCACCGACACATGTCGAATATTCATGCCTTTCACTTGAGCTCTTCAAATAAACAATTTATGACTTAAAATATACAATCTATTTATTTTTAAACAAATATATCTATATTTGATGAAATCACTCTGTTTTATGATTCTATTTATGCGTGTTTAATTTGGAATTTGAATTCAAAGTTTTATTTGTAAAAATAAAAAGTGATGTAACTTGCCTGAATTATTTATGAAATTAATAATCTTTATCGTTGTTGGTTTTACATGTCTCATTAAGTCATGATATGAATATAAGTACATTTTTGGCACGATTCCTAACAATAACATTACGTATGGTAGAATTATACCGATTTGTCTTTGTCATACTAGCGTCAATAATATAATATTTTATAAATTTGTTTAGTTTGCAATCTCATTGACATTCGGTAATGAAACCGTAACAAAATTATTCAACTCAGTCGCTTCTTCAACATCCTCTTTAACCTTTTCTTTTACTTCCAGTTTATCGGTAAAAAACACCAACCAAATCATAGAAACAATCATCATTACTGCTGTAAATCCAAAAGTCCAATAAGTACCGAACTCGGTGTAGATGTAAGTAACAAATACAGGTCCCATGACACGGGAGAGACATCCTGCGCCTGTGAGTAATCCCATCCACACACCTTGCGGACGAGGTCCAAGAATCTTCGAGAAGATTGTTTGAATCAACGTCACACCAATCGGATATCCAAAACAAGTAAAAATATAGCCGGCTATGAACTGTGTGAGTGTCATTGCATTGGTATATTCACACCACTTTTGACTTGATGGACACCCCAATAATTCAATAGTCTCAAGAGTATTATTACAGGAAATTTCATCTTTCAAAATTCCAAGAGGAACTGTAGTCACATTCAAATAATCTAATGTGGTGTCTACATATGTCTCATTAACAATTGGCAAAAATGTTGTATTATCACATTGATTTAGAACTCTTAAAGAATCATCATAGATCACAGGTGGAGCATCCCCCATTGGAATATGCACGAGGCGTCCCACTACCATGAAGAAGAACCCGCACCAGATCATAACTTTATGTTCTGGGAACTTCCGAGTAAGTGGCGATATCATCATGAAGCAAATAATAGAAATAATCCCGCCAATAAACATCATAATACCCATATATTTTAAAGACTCGCTTTTCGTCCACGCAAATTGATCCATCGTCAAGGAGGTTCCAAGAGTTTCCAGTAACATAAAATTGAATACGAGAACAAAGAAAGCGATGATTAGAGTCCACGCTGACAAATAATCCGGAGCATCATATGTGTCTTTCTCAGTGCTGACACCCTGTTTCAACATAGCTTCTTTCGTTGCAATGCGACGTTCCTTAAAGAATCTGGGCATAAAGAGGCAAAAATTGAAGATGGACATCACAACGTTGATCCAACCGCAGGCAGTGTACATGTCTAGCTTAATAAAGTTCTTAATCAGCCAGAAACCATGGTTACCAAGAGGTACAACACTAGTTTGGATCGCCGGGCCTATAACAAAGCCCAATACTTGAGCTAAGGAGATCATAGAGACTGCTTTGGTTCGTTCTGTAAATCTTGTTGCAGCAGAGACGTAAGATCGACATGGTGCTATACAAGCTGTAAATTAAATCAATCAATAATTTAATCAAGAAATACATTGGTCTGAACCATACCTGAACTGACCCCAACCAATAATCTGGTAAACAACATCCAATATTTTCGATGATCTGCAACTACTTCTAGAGACGAATACATAGCGCTGGCAATAGTAAAAACCGCCAGGGACGACATGACAGGCAGTCTTATGGAACCCAGTTTGTTGCTCCACCAGCCAAACAAGGGTGAAAGCAACATTTGGGCAAACGGATTCGCTGCTACCACGTAACCCATAAACTCTTTTCCCGCGGTAGGATCAAGCTAGAATAAATAAACCTCATAGTTCCGTGTAAAATAAATAGTTTAAATTATAACTCACTCTATCTAAATATGGCCAGACACCGGTCAGAATAATACCGAAACCGAGCGATATAAGAAACATGGTGAAATAAATAATATAAATGGAAAACCATCGTTCTTTGTACTCGGCTTCGGTTTCCAAGCCATCGTCAATCCATCCCGATGGCGGAGTGTTGTTCTTTGAACTGTCTTTTGGAGTTTGTTTGGAATCATACCATTTCTTCGCTTTCTTCCAGAGATCCATTGTGTTCCACTGAAAAAAAACGTTTTTTTACACTTTCAACCTTTAAACCTAAAGATGTCGTGTGGAATGTAATGTGTCCATGTGTAAACACTGTAATAACTCACTTTGTTATAAATATTTTTAATGTTTATTAAACACGCATATTTAAACGTCTATTTATGGATAACGTTCCACACATACTGACCGTAAATTTACTATATAAAAAGTGAGAAGAGGGATAACAAAGGGAATAAAGGTTGTAAACCGATATGAAGGGCATCCCTATTTTATTTTGGTAGAGAAAGGTGCAACCAACTTTAAAGTACGGTTCAAATTAGGGGAACAATTTCTACCTGAAGGCCATTGTATGTCTGGGCTCATAAAATGCACTAGAATCGTTGTATATTCGATTTTTACGAGTAAATGACCAATAAAACTTTTAAAAAAGCTGAATTTAGTTTTTTTATATTATTATTTCTGTTTGTCACCATGAATAGTTTTTATGATAGGTTATATCAAAATTACAATAAAAATTACAATCGAAATAACTTATAGATTGTAGCATAACAAGTACAGAGATTATGGCAATATATTGTTTGCAAAATGATTAACTAACATAGACTGATAAATATAATTGGAGTTCTGTTTGCGCGCAAACAACTGAAGTACTTATATTAAAGTGAGGCATACTATTAATCAGTAAAATTACATGTTTGCGAACTAGAGAGAAAGATTTCAAGGCGACCACATATCTAATAACGTACACAACAATTTCTAATATGATTTAAAGCGTTGCTTACCCGTGGATGACTACCACAAGACAAGTTAAACAATGTTAAACAAGGTCAATTTTATTCGAAGTATAAATCATCAATATTATTGTAAAAACGGATCTTTATACAAAAACAATTTACTTTCACAATGAAAACGGTTACGCATAATTTCGATTATGAATAATATTAAAGATTTAAGCATGGTAAACACGATGGGCGCAAATAATAATTTAACTAATTTGTATGCATACCGCACAATAAACAACCGGACGCAGTTTATTATCTCGGAAGTATATATTAATGTGTATCGTCATTAGTTACATTTCAACAAGTACAACTCTTATATTAAAACCAACAGAGGACTCTCCAAAACTTGACTTTTAACAAACAAATTTTTAAAAAATATACATAGTTAGAAAGCATGTTGTATGCATAAATTACCATCCAAATGTGTGGAATGCGAAGATAAAACACGAATGCATAATATATGTGCTGAATTTTGTTTTAGATATCGGAAACACTACATGTAAACTGTGCAAATTGTCATAGTAATTATTGTGTTGTACAAAATACCGTATGACGATCTCATATGCCACTTACCTTTGTCTATTTATATCACGTTCAGTATTGATGTCCCCACCTGTGAGAAATTGATTGAATTACACCTCAAAATATTCTTTTATTGAACGTTAATTGCGTGCAGTGTCTGTTATAACTTGAATTAATTCTGATGTGTTAATCATCCCACATTGCACTTCGGTTATCACGCATTTTATCTGACTCAGAATTAACTTTAGTTTACTCATTTATCACAAATACATTGTATTATTGTTCACAACACGCACTGTCGAGGACGCTAAGCAGCACACCGACACGTTCCGCACCATAACTATAAATAAATTAAAAACATTTTGATAATTTTATTTTTATTGTTGACGGGTCGTTTGTTTTCGATGATGGTGTGGTAAGCGCACAACTGCATCAACTCCACACGACACGAAAGTGGAGTCAAGTGAGTCAAGTCAAGTCCATGTGACTTAAGTTTGGATGTGGTGTATGTGGAACGCACGACTTTCTTTGTGACCGGCCTAGACCCCGCGACTCGTCGGTTACACACTCAAACTGATACCGGTCGAGCGAGCGACGGCACTAAGCGAGTGAAACTTATAATTATTGATGGGATGATACAACTCTCATTGAGACGGTTTTTGTTTGATAAGTGCCAAACCACTCGGTGTTCTCGTGCTCGACTGAGTTGAGCCAAGCGAGTTATTTCAAACTGGCTCAAGCACCTAGCTCCTACATATGCAAAACAAAACATAAACATAGCCATGTGTACTGAGCGAATGTGTATAAGTAACCATTACTTAAGTCAAATAAAATAAGTTGCAGGTATCTAACGTAGGCAACCAATAGTACTACAGTCACATACAACAGTCAATATTTCACTTTGTATTTTACACCAAAACTTGCAATATTAATGAGAAAAGAATGTTTGAATTTCATTTCGAATGTTACAGTTTCTTCAAAAGCTACTCTATAATTTAATTACATAATTACAATGTTGTATAATAGCATAATTTCATGGATAAATTCAAAAATATTCAGTACAAGCGCGCCGCACCGAACTAATTCTTCCCTATTATCATAATAAATAGTCAACAATTAATGAACACTGATCAGTTCACATCACAAATGCTCAATACTTCAACGACGCATCACATTGCAAACATTTCTCAACCGGTTTCGTCAAAATGTAAAATTTAAGCGATACAAACACGAAAGTTATAATACATGAACATTATTCAACTAAGCAGATCCATGATATCGTCTTTACTCAACGCGTTGCTTTTATTTGTGTTATTCGGAGGCGATTGAATCAAGGGCTGATTGGACATCATTTGATTCATTGGCGTTCGACCGCCCATCGCAGGCGCATTTACTGAATTTGGTAACAGATTATCAAGAGCACTCCAGTTTTTACTCTGTCCATTCATAGGAGTAGGACTTGCCCATTGCATACTTTGTGAATTAGACATGTTTTGGGCTGGAGACTGCCACATGGGTGATGGTGCTTTATTCCAGTTGCTTCCATTTGTGTTCTGCATGGAATTTATGCCCATCACAGGTTGCATTTTTAACGATTGCGGTGACTGCATGTTCATTGCTGATGGGAATGTCATTGATGTGGGAATTGCAGGCTTTGATATTAAATCATTACCAATCATACTGAGAGAACTTAACGAATTTAGCGAATTCATTGAATTCAATGGCGTTTTTGACTGTGGCGGGCTTGAAATCTGTGGAATGATATTCTTGGGCAATTCTTGAGTTAAATCTTTAGGTTGCACAACTCTGGAAACATTCGATACTGGCGCTGGATCCAACGGTGACTGATTCTGCAACACTTTCATCGTTTCCTGTTGCTGCGACAATTTTTGTTTGTCTTGAAGTGATAAAGAAGGTGAGGTAGTTGAAGATGACATAAAGTTATCTAAACCAAGACCATTAAATGCGGAATGAAGTTGCACGCCATTGGTACTCGTAGGTGATGCCACCTCGGGCATGGTAGCCTCCAAAGTTTTTCGCTCTTGCTGGACGGAATTTAACTGTTCTAATTTCGTACGATGTTCAGTCTCAACTAAACTAAACATTTGCTTCACCAATGCCACCAAAGCATTAAACTGTGATAAATTCAATCCATTTTCTATGCATAAAGGCATCAAAAATGGTAGAACACGCGTCGCCATTACTTCTTTACTAATACCCAGCTTTTTATGATTTAACGCAAGTTTATAAATACCTAAGATGCCCATCAAAACAGCCGGCTCTCTCGATGGTATCTGTGTTAAAAACGGCAACACCTCATCCAGTACCAGCCACTTGTCAAGGTGTTCCAGCAGACGGCCAATGCATAATAAACAATTTACACGTACGGAGAGATTTGCCGTAGAAAGACATAACTTTTTGATACGTGGCAACAAATGATTCTTAACATTGGCATGATCTATAAGACCGGCAAATGTAGGTAGAATCGACAAACACAGTTCATGAATCTGAGGTGTGTCTGCATCCAAACCACGGTACAACATTGGTAAAACATGCTGTTGTACATCTTCAGCCGGTGTCAGCTTCAACATCAACTCCATTCGTTGCAAGAAAATTAACAGAATTTGCACGGGATCTGTTAGTTTCATCACGGGTTTTAAAAACGGTAGAATATACTTGACGAATTCTTTTTGACTGCAGTGTTGTGCAATGTCAAGAATGTTCGGTAGCACGAAGGGTACCATCGCAGGTTGAGTCAAGTCACGTACCAAACAAGGAAATACTCGTTGAAGACGCACTCTTTGGGGTAGTTTGGCTAAAGATTCAGGAGTCCTTTGTAAAACTGTGATTTTTGTAAATTATCCCATTGCAAGAGCGAATCCAAGTAGTTGAGAGTTTTTACACCAACATCTTCAAAGTATGGAATCTAGAAAATAAATAAACATAATGTTGCTTCTTTGTACTGTCAAAAATAATTTTATAACAAAATCGTACCTTAATAAATTGATGTGCATCCGGCCTCAACTCTGGAGTAACATGCAACATTAACTTAACATATTCTTTGAGAGCTTCCGGCACAGGTGACAATTTCGATGCCGGTAAATTTTTAAGCTGGCCAACTCTTCCTCGAAACTGTTGTATATCCCTTACAGGCATAACACTCACATGACTAGGTGAATAAAGTGCAAAAGCAACCATTCCCAACGAAAACAAGTCGCTCGCCGCTGATTGAGTCTGACTCACGATACATTCCGGCGCTAGATAATCTAAAGTCGGCTGTGCAACATTTGGCAACGATGGTACGAACTCATCTAATGGATAATGTGGCGGAGCATTCGCCGCACTTGTGTTATGCACGCAAAAATCAAAACCGAAGATTTTCCACGCGCCCTGGTGGTTTATAATGATTGTTTCAGGGCAGATATTTTTATGGAGAAGTTTCATGTCATTGTGCAGAAAGGCGAGGCCTTCGCCCACTTGCAACAGGCCGTATTTAATCTCAATGTCATAGAATTTGTAATCAGCCATATTGTGAGACTGGGGCATGTTGTATGTTTCACCAAGAACATTTGCCAAGCTGGCAAATACCGGCTCGGTAGCAAACGCTAAACTTTCCCTGCTTTCCTCCAGTGGATGTTGAACAGTAAGCACTTGTGGATGTCTAATTTTAGTTAGTTGAGTTACTCCTCGCCTCAATACTTCCAGGATTATATCACGGTCAGTTTTACTGTATTTGTCCAGCTGGCGTTTTTCAAATACAAAGATTGACGCTTCTTGTTTGGTGGATTTCTTTGTTCCTCTGTAGATTTTCCACAGCAATCCTTGTAATTAAAACAACATATTATTGTAGAAAATGTTATAATATAATATATAAGAAAACTTAACTAATTTTTACCATGTAATTTACACAAGATAAAGTTTACAACTTTGCTAAGGTATTTATTAATCATTTAATGCAACTACGTAAGTAGAGTAATAAAAACCTAAATGTACCTGATCCTCCAGATGCAATGTGTTCATTTGCATCGAATTCGCGAGTCACTGGATTTCCTGGCAGCACCCCTGACAATTGTGATGCTGCGCTGCTCACAGAACTGCTCACTTGCGACACAAATTTATTAAAAACCTCCATTATGTGCAACTATTTGTTAATTAGAAATAAACTAAACAAGTGAAAATTGTTTGTATTCAGTGCAGGAGAAATGACTTAAATGACTCATCCAGATGTCAACCTCAACACCTGTGACATTTCGATTCACTTTGAAGGTATGCAACCATATTTACAATTTAAACTTATTACAAGTAATATTTAGTTTTAGATAGAAGTTAAAATATCTTAAATTATATTCTCTATTTTGTAATTATTATTCATCTATTTTTATTTTTACTACAGCCAAGACTAGAGTTCTTGCATAATAAAATTAAAAATCAAGCAATCACCAGTAAAAGTTATAACCTCTGATTTTGTTCTCTGGCCAACACTCTGGATTGCACTCTTTGAGCAGATAATTTCTCATATTTTTGTTTTATATAAGTATTGTAAAGCTTTTAAACATGTCGTCAAATTCTAATCCTGTAAGTACTCGCAATAAGCTTTTAATAATACATTTTAAATCAAAATTATATATTTTTGCAGCGAACAACTGTTAAAGAATATTCCATCATTGTGCCCAAAAATGTAAATAAAAAATATCATGTAATGAGATTTAATTCTACCCTTGGGGTAGAGTTTGATAAATGGAGTCAGGTGAAAATGGAGAGAGAAAATAACATGAGAGAGTTCAAAGGAACCCATGAAGAAGAACATCCAAAGTATGAATTCTAAAATCCATCATTTAAAAGAGAAATTTAATATTTACTGTGTATTTGTAGGTTTGGTGCAGGTTCTGAGTTTGGTAGAGAAGCAAAGGAGGAAGCTCGACGTAAAAAATTAGGAATAATACCCAAAAAGTACAAACCTGACAATCAGCCATGGATTCTAAAATCATCTGGCAGTACTGTGAAGAAATTCAAAGGCATTAGAGAGGGTGGTGTTTCTGAGAATGCTGCTTATTATGTATTTACACATGCTGCTAATAATGTGATACAAGCATTTCCACTTAATGAATGGTACAAATTTCAACCCATTCAAAGATACAAAGCTTTGTCAGCTGAAGAAGCTGAACAGGAGTTTAGCAAGAGGAATCAACACTTGAACTTCTTCTCTCTTATGTTGCGTAAACGGCTGAAGGGTGAAGATGACACAGTTTTAGATGGAGAAGGTGAGGATGGTAAAGGAAAAGGTAAAAAGACAAGTAAATCTAAGGAATTGAAAATATCTGAAATGGATGAATGGATGGAAACATCAGATGATGACTCAGATGATGAAGAAGATGGTGAGAAACAAGATGATGAGGATAAAGCAGACAAGAAAAAGAAGAAGGGAAAGAAATTGGATGTCAAGAAGAAGAAAAAGAAGCGTGATACAGATGGTGAAGCATTTGAAGACTCTGATGATGGCGATGGTGAAGGACGAGAATTAGATTATATCACTGATAGTTCTGATAGTGAACCAGAAACCTCTAAGCTCGAAGGTGTAGCAGATGAGAAAGGTCTTAAGAAGTTGTTGAACTCAGACGAAGAGGAGGACAGCGACAGTGATAAGTCCGAAAAGGATGAGAACGATGAAGACAAAGAGAAGTCTGATGAGAAAGAAGACAAACCCAAGGAGTCTTCTAAGAGTAAGAGTAAAAAAAGCAAGAAGGATTCGAAGAAAGATGATAAGAAAGATAAAAAGGATGACAACAGCGATTTTAGTTCAGACAGTTCAACAGACGAAGAAGTAACGAAGAAAAAAGCGGCACAGAAGTCGAAAAAGAACAAAGGTGAGAAACCTGCTGAAGAAAAACCAAAACCTGAGAAGGAGGTTGATAGTCCGAATAGTTCTCGATCAGGTAGTCCCACGCTTGAGAGTAATAAAAGGAAAATGGATGGTGCAGTTGCAGGTGGATCGGGACTACCACAAAAGAAATCTAAGATGGAGCCTGTTGTTAATTATATTCCTGGAGCAAGGTATGTTTTAATTTAATTAAATTATACAAAATACTAAAATTATGTTTATTTTAGTGAATCTGGTATAACTGAAGATGCAGTACGTAAGTATTTGATGCGGAAGCCAATGACTACTACAGAGTTGCTTCAAAAGTTCAAATCGAAGAAGACTGGACTTTCCAGCGAGCAGTTGGTAAATATTATGACGCAAATATTGAAGAAGATCAATCCTGTCAAGCAGATGCTCAAAGGGAAGATGTATTTGTCCATTAAGTCATAGGGAAAGCTAGATTTAGCTGAATTATGGAACATGAATGCCTTATTTTATTGTTCTACTTTACTTATTACTTTTATTCATTTGTGTTAAGAATTTTGTTTTAATGATTGGGATCGAATAAAAAATTACAAAAACCAATTATTAACGCAGTTTATGTTAGCCGTAAGCTCTTAATCCGCTGAGCACTATCCAAATAAGCCTGACGACAGGAACCTAGAGGACTGCGATTGGAGTGCTGATCGACTCAGGCACGACTGAGCGCGGTGCGCACTGCGTGCTCGCCTTTGTACCTGCGGCCAACAGTGAAAAATGTTGGAGTAAACGCGTCAGCAGGAGTTAAGTGTGTGATGCGCGCAAGGGTACAAGTCGTGGACGCCTGTAGGGAACTGGTTCAGCTGTGAGAGGAAGATACTTATTTCTCCTAAGTAATTCATACATATTTAAAGGATATAATTAATTATTTCCATTTTATAATGCTTTGTGTTAGTTATTTTGTTGTTTGGACATGTTTCGTCTAATCATTTCGCATTTTTTACTGCCACAGTACTGAGTACTTACGTTAACTCAATAAAAATCATTATTTAAAGAATAATGGAGCGAACTTGCAATGAACTTATCTACCATATCGTCTTTGGACCGGAAACTATATTTGAATATAATTGGATTGGAGTCTTCCTTGTAAATTAATCTTGTTATTCGATTTCTTCATTAATCTTATCATCTTAGCATTTCCTTGCATCTTGCTTATTGTCTAGCCAATGCACCCTGGGATAATATTTGCCAGGATCTAATTAGTGTTACGACGGGCAAGCATAACATCACCGCACCTAATTAGCGATAATTAATGCGTTCTGCATTACCTCTGTGCCACCTTCGCAGGCGCTGGCATTGTTCCTTCGCGAGCGCGCGCTGTTTGATGCATCTGACACGATGCAGCTCGCATTTCGCATTTCGTTTAACGGCAGCAAATAATTTTATATCATATTATCAACTTTTATTTCTCATATTATCTAATTATGTTAGTTTTAGTAACGAGCAATCATAATCTAAAATATATATTCCCTAGAATAAGTAAAGAAGTTATTAAATATTAATTAAAAGTTTAAGTAAACATTTAAGTTGCTATTGGCAATGTTACTTAAACAACAAATAAAATTTATAAGATAAAATTCAATGTTTTTGAAAAACATTTTTTGATTAATTTAATATAAAAACGCAATAAATAATTAAAATTGTTTTGTTTATATTGAATTCATGCGGTAAAAATAATCAGGTTTGGTTAGCACTCTATATGAAAACAAAATCTGTCACACGATGCACTTTATTGCAATTACTTTTAATGCACTGAATTTAATATTGCGGATGCGCTGGGCTAATAAGAAATTACTCAGCTGGCTGCCTGCAATAAACAAGTTCCTGTTTGAGGCTAGGATATCTGGGCTACCTGATAAAATTAACGGCAAATTTATTGACAATATAATAGTGTTAGTGACAGACAAGCTATTCTCAAAGAATTATTTATAGAAATCTTGTATTTTTTGCAAAATTCAAAGATAAAAAAAATTAATCTGACATTTTTGCCACAAACATTGTTTTACATCTGGTAAAGCAGTATTTCACTAGTTATAAAATGAAATATAAATGTTAATAAACTAATGATACAAGTTGATAGCGCAACAAGTGGAGACAAACGATTTAAAACCTTCTGGCCGCCCATACTAATTTACAAACCTGTTGAAGAGATTATCCATCACTGCACGACTGACTAGACTCAGCGCAAATAATCCATTTGCAATCGGTTGATTGACATGAAGCGCATCGCGTCCGCCATCCCTGTAAGCTGGTATGGCGGCAGCGGTGGCGGCGGCGGCATAGCAGTTCAACGGCAGTCGGCTGGCGGCCGCGTCTCGTAAAGCATGGCCCGAGCATCGCCGCGATCGCGTTCGTAGTAAATGGTAGTGCGCGTAGTTCCGCTCGCAGTTTTAGCTTCATAATAATTATCTTTAATATTTCGGACATTTTAAGGTGTAGTTGCTTAACTAGTGTTTTGGTTACGTGCTCTCTCATCGACCAATTTTGGAAGCGCCGAAGGAAGTTTCGTAGTTTTTTGTAGTTTGAGCAACACGTGCGTGAGTCCGTCTGCCGCCGACGGACTTCTTCGTTCGCGAGTGCCAGCAATGCCTACGCGAGATTATGATTTCAACAATTTTTAAAGCGCAACTAATTAACGTACAAAGTAAGTCAAAGGAATAAATTTTGCATCTAAAAAATTCACTATTTAACAATGTCCGCACAAACAAAATTATAATTTTTTAAGAAATAAATTACAAAATTTTGACTAAAACTATGTTTATTCATTTAAGAATATTAAAAAAATTTATTTTTCGACAAAATTTTATTGCACGTAATTCTTAAATTCTATAAATTTATAAAACATGCAAAAATGAAAACTATGCACTCAAATTAAAACCTAAATATTTTTGAAACATTGCATTTACGCAAAATGCTAGGCATAACCCGTCGCTCGTTGAACAAAACTCATTAAAAGTTTGTTTCAAATGCGAAGCATCGAAAAAAGAATCGCTGAGTTCAAAATGAGCGCGCAAGAAAAAACATCATTATGTGATGTGAAATAATTTACTTAATTAAAAATGTGTTTCTTTTAACTTTTTGTGTTGTGATTTTTCATTTTGCGAGTGTCGTGTCAAGACAGCCAATTCTAACTTGGTTTAAGATTTCCTAATTTAATTTTTAGTTAATTAGAAAAATAAATAAAAATATAGTAAAACACGTTTTTGTCTATAACATCAAGTGTGAATATCTAGGTATTATGAAATGTAGGTATTGTGTAATTTAATTTGATTGAACAGATGCGGGAATTTAATAAAACAATATTATCACGTGACTCATATTATTATTGATTTGATTGACGAGCAAAATTCCAAATTGAGTTTGCTTTATTATCACAGGTTATTTGTTATCTGCAAAATTAATTTAAATTGTATTTTACATTACGTTATTCGATTTGATGGAACTTTTCTATTTTAACTTTAAAACAACGCAATTTATTACAATCCATTTTTTGTCACTTATTTTTATTATCAATAATAATTCTAGGATCAAATCAATAATATATTCCATGATTTGATAATAATTTTCTATTAAATTTAACAATTGAAATTATATGCGCAAATAAATTGATTAAATTAATTAAAATTCAATTTCGAAAGCATGTAGATCAGTATTTAATGTAATGAACGTTTTACAGAACATATGGATACTGACAATGCTTGTGAGAATTTGCTCATATTTTCAAATTTTACGCATAGAGCACAAAGCACTAATTTGGTTTTGAGAGATATTTATAGTCTATAAATACGCGAGGATGAATTGTATTATTATAAATTACCAATATAATACTAAGCTCAAAATAATAAGCGATTCTATTAAATGAAATCAAAAGCCAAGCAACTTTACAAAATTCAATAAATTTATTTTTAGGATAATTTTAGGAATGTTGAATAATCATTATATATTATTATATATTTGCGTTGCACGTTTAAAACTATATTAATTTAATTTTTTTTCTCTTTGTAAGTTAACCTATAATTTCATTTATGGTAAAATTTCAATACCAGTATAGTTTCGGTCGAAAATTTTATTCATGCTCGATTGATTTGTTGTATTTTTATTTTACTTGCATCAAATAAAAAGTTCGTTCGCTTTGGAGATTTGCACTGCAGCATCCACAAGCAAATCCGGCAAAATCCTCTTCCGCTCACATCCAATATGATTCGATTCAACTGGGTGCATAAAACTAGGAAGCGCGTGCTTTGAGCCAATAATCTTTCAATAAATAATTTATTTTTGCATGTTTTTTTTTAACGAAAACATAAAACGTAATGTAATTGAACTCAGACAGTGTTGATATACCATTGAAACAATAAAATGTTTACGTAAATGCTACAAATATTTGCTTAACTATGCATTTTTGTTTGTTTTGGCTAACCTATCTTCTAAATTAAAATACGCGTTTATCAACAAACATATTTTATTTATTTAAAAAAAATAGTGTTAATGAACGAATATGTAAAGTTTGAATGAAAACGTAATGACGACACGAATGGAAGCACTACAATGACATTCAAACGAATTAAAATTGTATCAGAATTTGATTCTGACCCAAATTTCTTTTATTAAATTAGTTAATGCAATAATAAATTATTTGTTTTGAATGTCGATACGTGACTTAATCAAATTTCCATCTACGCCGCTCTAATGAAATATTAAATGCTTGTTTATTGCTCCTTGTGACTCCTTCTAACTTTGCAATTTGTGCAAAACATGCTCGTCAAACCTTTGTCAAAACCGTCAGCGCCTTCAGCACTTAGCGCGTCCGCCATTAATTCTCGCGCTCGCATGTTCGAAGGTTCGGAAAACCAAGTTGGCAAAACTTTGCGTTAATAAAGTTATTGCATGTTTGTTATGAAGCTTGACTGTGAGCTATTTGAATAACTTAGAAACAGCGGAGCGTTGCTTTCTGATGCAACATTTTGATCAGTTCGATTGACAAACCATATTGTCATATTTCAACTTACCGTTGAGTATAGCAAACTTGTGGCTTTTGAAATTTATGATAAACAATGCGTTATTACAACTTTCGCGGTACTCTAAATTCATATTGAAATGCAAATCATTATAACAATTTATATCTATACTATAGAAATAAGTCGCAAAATCTGTTGGTAAGTGCATAACTCAACAACGCCAAAACCAATTTGGCCAATTCTTTTTTTTAAATGTTTCTTAAAATCCAAGGATAGTTTTTATAGCGAAAAAAATTTGAATAATTGCCGGGAAAGCCCAAAAGGCAGCCCTTTTCTATAATATAAAAGTTGACATTGAAATTCAATCATAGTTATAGTTAAATAGTTGAATCCGAGATGGCGCGCTGAAGTGTATTATTCGCAATTATTTATATAATTAATTTCTTTAAAATAAAATTGCGAAGCTCATTGATAGAATTGACACATATTATGTCTAGAACAAGGAAGTAAAAACGAATTACATTTTTATTTAACACTACCGGGACGAAGTCGCGGGCAAAAGCCAGTTCAATATAAAACAATATTGTGTTA